TTAAAGCTTGAAGAATGCCTTATTGTAGAAAATCCATAAGACTAGCCATTTTTCTCCATGTGAGATCATTCAAGATGCTGTGGACAGTGGCCACGATGGCACATGCTAGAATGATACCGAGGAAGAGATAATTTATCGATGAAATTATCGGAGATCGCGCGCGAAGACGACAGACCGGCTAAAGCTGGCAGCTCTAAATGTCACGGGATTCACACAGGTGTTACGCGCTAAGGGATTATATCACCGGCTTCTTTGGATACGCCTCTATGATTTCGCACGGTGAGAAAAGAAGTAAGCAACCGTATACGTATGCATCTGGGCCCTGGGCTATTATATGTGTACATACGCAAAGCGCGACACGATCGCTCGATGGATGGCGGAATCTCGTCTCCCACGTAAGCGAGCCAAGCCTCATTAAGCGAAAATTGCAATGAACGAAAGTCGGATTGATTATTATTACGATATATTATTGCGCTGTTCATAATGCATGATGCGCCACGTGCTTCCCCGATGTTACGTCGTCGTCATCGGAGATGCAGCTGCACGCGCGTCTACGATACATCGCGGTAGCGATATCAGGAAATAATTGTAGCGATGATTAACTTCGATGATCGCAATGACGCGGAATAGACACGTCGTCGCAAACTGGATTTTTTTTCCGCGAGAAGGAACTTGTAAATGCGTGCGCGAATTCCATGTTTGTTAATAAAACAATGTTATTTTGGATCCGGAAAATCGTGGCCGAAAAGTTTTTATTTTTAAACTTCGAGATAAATTTGTTGAACAAATTTTCAATAAATGTAATAAAAAATAAAATTTAAAAATGCAGTTTTTGTTTATAAAATAAATTATAAATGAAAATAGTTAACCCTCCGTCTGCAATTTGAATCTTTTTTTGAACACAAGCGAAATTTTATTCTTATTTTTGTTCAAATTTTTTATTGCTCGAATTTTTTATTAAATAAAGGTTTCGATATTAAATTAAAAAACTATTTGTAATGTAATAGAAATGTTGGAAAGTAACTTTTTGAAAAAAGAACAATAAAAAAACTTAGGTTGGACAAAAAAGACGAACATTGTAGATTACAAATGGAACAAAAATTATGATTGCAAACGGGGAGTTAAGAATTAAAAATAAGAGATATATATAAGCAGAAATATATAAGCAGATTAAAGCAGCAAATATCATGTTGCATTTGTGAATCATAACAAATTACTTTTACTGTCATATCTGACTCTTTAATGCTAAATTAATATGCTCACATTCTAAGAATGTTCATTTGCAATTGCATTCCTTGAAGTATCAAGCTGCGATTCTTGTATGCTAAAAGAGATATAAAAATCGAGTTATATAGGTCTTTGATTTCTTTTTTTTTTCAGATTTTCTCGTAATGGATTATTACTTTTAAATTAAGTTATTAAATTGAACCAACATTGCATATTTCTCAGCAACAAGTCCATAACATTCCGGTGCGATTACGAAATCGTGTTTATAATGATTTGAACTAGGAATGCGTTTTCAAATGCTTCGAATTCCGAACGAAATACCGCAAGAGGAGAATAACTTCGAATTCTTTGTACGACAAAGAATAGGACACTGAAATCGATATTTATATTTATCGATTCTTATATTTAAGACTATCTTAAGATGAATTATAATGAACCAATCAAAGAAAGTCGTTTTAGCATCTTAAGACAATCTTGAAATAAGAATGGATTCGCTTACAGAAATCTAATACTGATTAATATCTTCTAAAAGACAGTAATTAATTACTTACTTTAAGTATTAAAAGCACTATTGTTTAGTACTTTTGATATTCCAAATAAGTAATTAATTACTATCGATTTTTTTTAAATTATAAATTGGCCAGTATTATATTTCTGTAAGGGTTATGACAATACTGGTCCGAGATAAATGTAAATAGAAATTCATGCTTCGACAATTAGATCAGTGCAGAACGAAGCCGGAGAGGAACACCAAGAAGTTTCAAGGAACTTCGTCATAGTCGGTCGAGCGCAGTATGCTCGAGGAATTATTTATGAAATTTCGGTTTCTACTGTAAAATCCTGACGTGTGCCACTTTCCATTTCTTCCTCCTTTCCCTTTTTAGTCTTTTCAACGCGAGACGCGCTCACATAGCTCGAGCTAGCCCTTTTGCATCCCTTCAATGTCCTTAATTATATTTTGTTCTCTTTTGTAAGTACAGTTTACATTAAATTTCTGGATTGTTTAGACAGATCCTCAAGTTCGTGAACAGTTCATGAAGCTATGAAACACCAATTACTTGGTACGTTTAATCTGAAATAACAAAAATAAACATGCGGCCGCTTGCATTAAACACAACTATACTACTTTCTTCGTATTATATTGAAAAAAAATTGATTACTTAATTCCATTCGCGTATATTACAATACTCACGTATATTACGAACAAAAGAACAATATTTTTCTGTAATAACAGATACAAATAAACAATTATCTTTCTGCAGAGATATTGTTCTCGTTTGAAATTTCTCGAGAAAAATATCTGTACAGAAAGATAATTTTTTATTTGTATCTCTTATTATAGAAAAGTATTACTCCTTGTAATATAAGTGGAATGTATTAAGTAATCAATTTTTTTCAATAAATATCAAGAGAGTGGTATAGTCATATTTAATGCAGATAGTCTCATGTCTGTTTTTGTATCCTTCGACCGAAATCGACGAAGATGATTATTCTTTCACATCGAGAAAGCTATGCAGAATTAATAACGGCGTTGCCCGCGGTGAAACTGATGGAAGCTATAACGTTGCGACCGGGCCATCGTGTCGAGTTGAACGAAAGGTCAACTCATGTAAAAAATAATCGGCGAAATGTCCGACGACGGGCGTATCCGACGTGCCGTTGCTTTTTGTCTCGTGTCAGCTTACGCCATGCCATTACGCGACGTTTCTCTCCTATACTCTTATCCCTTCGCCTTTTTATTCGAATTACATAATTGTACATCGAGAACGAACAGTCTCGCGCTAGGAGAATACGAGAGACATATTTTACACGAACGCCACACGGTGAAAGGCCCGTCTTTGCGCATTGCGAATTAAAAGTCGCCCGTAGGTCTTGATAAAGTCTCGACTCGTTTTACAGAAACTGGCTGTGAGGTATCGCGATCGCATTATCGGGCAGGTGCGATTACTAGCAACAATTTGAGCGCTTCGCGGTCAAATTGTGGAATGGAATGGATGAAAGCAGGATGAACGCTAAAAGCGTTCAGTTGGAAATATAATTAGTAGACTAATTGCTATATCATCAATAAACTCAAGAATGTTAACGCTATTTAAAAAATTTAAAAGTACACAAGTTTATAGAGCTACGTAATTATTGTTTAACATTTAATTGCGCTAAATATTTAATTTTATTGTAAAAATAAAATAAAATTATTTAAATGTTATTTATTATATATAATTTTTCATATGTATGTAATAAATAAATATATATGTAAGCTAATAAAAAATATATATATGCTTGTAATATTATGCTTTCGTGTTTTAACATGTCAATGGGTCATTAAAATGATAACCATAAATCAATTACAACCGCGTTACATAAATCTTTATGAACCAAAAGTATAGATCTTGCAATTTGAATACCTGCAGAGCGCTATTAGCATACCACAACGAACTACGAGACAGAGCCGAGGGGGGGAAAGGTGGGGAGGGTGAAGAATATAATTTAATCTGACGGTAACAATTAACACCTGTCTGGCACGTGTTAGATAAGATGAAAGTTGCCTATTCCACTATCTTATTATTTTTTCGTTATATTGTATTTTTCGATTTTTCACGATGCCTATTTTATTTGGCAAAGCAAAAAATGCTGTTATATTAAGAAAAACGTGTTTATTTCTAAGTATAAATTATTTTAATTTCCTCACTTCTCTTCTTTTGCACACTACAGCCAATTTTAAATCTGTTTTATTGATTTTTATCCAGTCTTCTTTCTCTTTAATCTTTCGTCGACGTAGTGACATTTTATTCAATCCGATCGCGTTTATGTAACATTGCAGTTACACCGGATTATGTTGTATTTATAACGGTAGCAGATCGAACTAGCAAACTTGAATTTATGGAGCACTTTGGTGCATTAACCTATCGCCGGTGCGTAACGATAGTTGTGCATAATTATGGCAGCAACTGGTACAACGGGGTCCACCGGGGACCCCGGGCCCGATTGCGAAACTATATAAATTACCTCCGAATGAGTCGGCGGCAATCGCAAAATATTTTTTTTCTTTCCTTTCGGCAAAAGATAATTTTTTTTATCTCGTATCTTATCAAATAGGATGCATCCACGATTCGAAAAATACCGTGGGAGAATTCACATATTGCGAGCGAAAGTCAAGCTCTAAAAAAAGCTCTAAAAAAAATCTTATTAAAAATAGACTCATAACTTTTTTATTTACATTTACGTATACGTTTTTTTAGAAAGTTTCAAGAACGTATTTACTAAGAGTTGCGCTGATTGATTGACGTTCAACGAATAAATTTTTATTGAGAGATATGAAAACAGAACGATTCATCTCGAGCGATGCAAGCTATAATCTCGTGATTTGTTTTATTATTTTATTTATTTAATATGCAAAGTCGATGGCACACAAAATGTAGTAAGAAAAAAAGCAGTAAGAAAAAAAAGGCCGTAAGCAATCCAAGAAATATCATCAAGCCAAGAGAAAGTTAAAATGACTTCATTTTAACGTTATGAAAGTCAGAATGACGATTTTTATTACAAAATTTGTTTACTGACGTTAAGAAAAAAATTAAGTCATTTTGATTTTTTGTTGACTTTTTTATCTGTTTTTTTGGGAATAAGTAAGTCGACCAATCAAAAAAGAACGTAAAACAATAATGTAAGAAGTAACAAATCGAAAACGTTGATTTACTTACTGCTCACTTTTTTGTGTGCCATAGCCTTAATGCAATTTCTACTTTCTCATGTCCTGTTTATTTTCTTTTCTTTTTCAGTTTTCGTGTCGATTCTCGACTTTCGTCATGGCCGTTTGTTATGCAGCGCGGGGGAACCTGGCGTAAGTTTTCAAAAAATTGATTGAATAAATCTGATGAAAAAATTAATGCCTTTAGAAAAAATTAAGTTTTTAGTTTAAACACGAACATCACCGCGAATAGCAGCTAAATTTTCTTTCCACTGAAGCGCCGATTTCTGATTTTCAAGTATCTGGACTTCGACAACCTGCCGGAGACGAATTTCTCGTGTCAAGGAAAAGTGATCGGCGGATACTACGCGGACGTCGAGGCGGGCTGTCAAATGTTTCATGTCTGCACTATCGGCCAGAAAGGTAGTTCTGCATTATAAAGGCGGGATTCCCAAATATTGCACAATCGCAATTTAAATCATTCATTTTAACGCACAAGAAAAAAATTTCGAGAAGATTTCGAGACTTAATTTGTTTTGTAAGATTCGTTAAATAAATTTATGACGCACGAATGTAAACTTTAAACAAATTATCATTCGATATATTTAGCATGTATCTAATATTTTTAATTAAAAAATCTGAATAATCTGAATAATGTATAAATTAATGCATGAAACATTATAATTGATACCGACATGAAATTAGTTACATTATGAAGAGAAGGTAAATTTAATCGCACTAAAAATCATGCTATCTAATGTGATATTAATACGACATTAATTAAATAACACGCTAATCAAGATCCATTTTGAATAAATCAATAATAGAAAAAATATTTATTGCTTTACTTTGCTGGTGTTCTGTTTTTGAAAAAAAATCACGAGCAAAAGTTCTAATTGAGTAATAAATCATTAGTTGAATTCTCAAAATTAAATTCACATGGGAGACAGACTCCTCGTGACAAGTCAAAACCAGACTCTCGGCTTAGGTCAGTAAACGTTCTTCGACGACCGTGACATTCTCACCGTGAGAGATCTCCCATGATCGAATTACAAAACTTCGATGGGCAGCCTTCGAGCTGCTTTCGAAACGATCTACTTATCGTCGATACGTGTCGATCCTTAATAGGCTCGCGCCGCTATTAATTGCTGCTACTAATTCCAGCTCTAATCCGGATCTGTCTTTGATAAATCGCTGGCTCTCGACCCTGGATCCAAACAGTCAGCTCCGATTCCTTCGTCGCGCCACGTGAACACTTGACATATAAAATGATTTGCATAATCGCTCATGCAAAATCGACTTTACTGACTGGATTGGTTTTAGGTAGATGCAACGCTTGTAGTAGGTTTTTCCAGGAATTTGAGAGAATGCGAGACTGTCTCCGAAATATGCGAGTAATGTCTCCTCGAAGATAAATCATTGTATTCTCTTGATGGAGACGCTGATCAAAATGGAAGATTGCATTCGAAGAGAATCGAGTGCGAAGAATTTGAAAGAATTTAAAAAATCATACACTAAACTCGCTTTCCTTTTAAAGAATTAACCGTTAAGTTTAATTATTTAATATGGTAGGATATAAATAAAATATGTAATTTACGAGGTGACGCACTCAGAGAAAAAAAGCATTTCTTATATAGTAATAGCGAGTATCATACACTGAGAAAAAAAATTTGTTCAACAAACTAAACACATTTAGTTGTTTGCAGATTTGGTTAATTCAACAAATTTTATTTAATCGAATGTAATTGTAATCTGTTTAACAAACTGTTCAATGTTAAGTAAACTATGGTTAAATTTAATTAAATAAAATTTGTTGAATCAATCAAATTTGTAAACAACTAAATGTGTTTAGATCGTTGAACAAATTTTTTTCTCAGTGTATCGACAATAATTATACAAGTTTTACTTGTAGAATTAATGCATACAATTAAATAAATTATATATATATATTACAATTAAAATTTAAAGATTGAATGACAAGAATTAATAAGTTTTCATAATTATTTAGTTTTAGTTTCAATAATTATAAAATAATTTTTTCAAATATTGTACATTAATTCTACATATAAAATTTATATAGATATTACTTACACATAGTTATTATCATTATGTCTTTTTTTCTAAATGCATAATGACTATTCTTAATTGAATTAAATAATTTTAATATCGAAAAACGATTGATAATTAAGCGAATCCACATCACAAACTCAAAGTCAGGATTGTATTAAAGTCACGACGAGCACGTCCTGTGAATCCAGAGCATCCCCAAATAATGATCCTGTTCTTCACCGTGAGACTTGGTTTCAGACGAGATTATGGACATAAAATTCCTCTGTCTGAACGGAACCGTCTTCGATCAGGAGACCAGAGTCTGCGAGAGGGTTGATGAAGTTGACTGCAGCAAGAGCGAGCGGTTCTACAATTTGAATCTGGAGCTGTATGGCAATAACGCTGTGACACTTAGGTAATTCTAAGAACACGCCTTATCTTGCTATATTTAATAATGTGAGTATAAAATCCAGTTTTCTTTTTACATTGTACAGAAGGTATCGATTTACACAGACGTAAGGAAATAGGTTGTCAAAAGGTTAATAATAATTCTGACTTTCTGGAAATTCATTAATGACATGGCAAGTCGGTCGCTAATCTATTTTCTGGTTTCACATTGATGCAAATTGCTGCGAGCAGAAACTGACTATCGAATGAAAGAAGTTGTTGCACACTCTGATTGCTTCGCCAGTCATATACAAGGTGTCAAATACGACCGCAATTCCTAGTAGACTTAGACGTTCACTTTACGTTTCGTAAGCACCGAAGACATATCCATCGTACTTTTTCTGTTCAATGTAATTTATCTTTCGTTTATATAAAACTTTATGTGAATATAAATATAAATACGATATTGATAAATAACGATACTGATAAAAACTACTGAAAGCGAATACCTGTTGAATGTAAATAAATAACGTTATATAAATAACGTTAAAAAAAAATTATATATTGTTGCCTCTTCTAATTTGGATAAAAATCCGAATTTTTCAAAAATCTAGTTTCAATTTAATAACCAAGATGTGATCTTAAACTTAATCTTTAATTAAAGTTTGTTAAGTTTCACTTAAAGTAAACTTTCATATGAATCAAATAAATTTAAAATTGGAAAGAATTTTTTTCTCATATTTTAAGATCTTGGTCGTTAAATTGAAATGAGAGTTTTGAAAAATTTAGATTTTTATCTAAAATAGGAGAGACAACAGTATAATTTTATTATTTACAGTCACGGGACATCCCGTACACGAGGTAATATCGAGTCGCCGCATTTCAGAAATTCTTGCTGGCATTTCGCGGATTGCTACATTTTTCCCGCTTCGTTTCGTTTGCGCAATGTCCAAAGCAACGCTCCCAGAAATATGATCGCGTAATGTTCGCGTAGCGAAAACAAAACAACGCGGTGCAGTTCGGTATCTCAGGCTCGCATTTCCAGACTTTATGGCTCGCGATGCGTACGTATTTTTGCACACCTCGGGGTCTCAGCGTCTCGAAATCACCGTCACGTAAAAGGCACGTACGTATGTACGTAGACCCATAAATATTTCAACGACTTTCCTTCTCTCAGTATCCCAGGAATGCTGGCGTCCTCCTCCTATGGCCGCGGGATGTATGCAGATAAAAATTATAACGATTAACTGTCACGACGAGCGAAATTTATACGCTGTTCGACGAGGAGGCTAAGTCATCTCTCAAGACAACTTCTATTTTCGGTCGACAGTAAATCTTGTTCCCGCGCCACTCATTTTACTCTCGGGAACCAATATCTCGACCTCTTCCCGCCTGTCTTGCATCTTATACGTTATTATCATCCGTCAGCCTTATCCCACAATTAACGGACGTTACCTCGAAGTGGTTATCTCGCGAGCCGCTGACACTCGGGAATGCACCAACGTGACACTCGAGCATTAACGATGATTTTCTTCCTAAGAATTTATAACTCGACTCAATGTAATATGGTTAACAGATAAAGATATTTGCTTGTCGTATCTGGACAGACATCGAGATCACATCCTATAAATCACTAGACCAGTGATACATACTCTATAGTAACATAATATCTAGTATAATATCTCGTGTATCCATGTAAAAACACTACTGAGAAGAGTCACATATCCGCGAGATAATGTCCAACTTGTTGCGATTGATATACAGGGTGTTCGGTAAGGACCGTAATAACACTTAGGGTAGATTCCTGAGACTCTTCATTTTAAGATAAAAATACTAATACTCAAAATGTCGAGATTATAATAGTTTTTGAATTATATTGCCTAAAGTTCGCGTGTTTAGGTATGGCACAATGGAAAATATCAACTATACCTGAACGCACAAATTTTAGGTAATTCGCCAACTTTAAATGCTTATAATTGAAAAACTACTATAGCTTCCATACATTTTAAATTTTCGTTTTAAAATAATCTCCGTTAAGAGTTGTCTATCTTTAAGTGTTGCCACGCAGCGTACTTTATCCAAGAGATATACTAGGACATCCTTAGGATATCTTTTGGACGTTTTTAAAAACATCTCTTGGAGATGTGTGTTGTATGAGTTGTTACGATCTTTACTGGACACTGTATATCGCCTTTAATATCGTATATCTGTTTCTTCCATTGCTTGTAGCTTGAACGGTGATGACGAGGACGATCTAACGATTGACCCGGTGGAGGATCATCAGTCGCGAACTACATCGGCGCGACCTAGCACGACTAGCACAACTAGCACGACCACATCCCGGCCTAGCAAATCATCCACCACGGCAGCCAGTGGTTCCTTCCAGCACCCAGTCGGTTATCCGCAGCACTATCAGCCGCAACCGCCGTTCCCACAGGTACACAGCCAGTCCAAGTCACTGTACGATGACAAGAACAGCGGTTACCATCACCAGTATATTTTCCACAATGGCGGCGAACGCGCCAGCAATCAGGCCACGTCCTATCAATTGTTCAGTAATCAGGGTGCCGTAAGCTCGACGACCGTACCGCCGGCGCCACCCCCGCCACCTCCGCCGCAGATCCATCAGATCAGGTACAGCTCGACGGTGGGTCCGCCACCGCAGATCATTCACAGCGAACCATCTACCGTGACGCCGTTGTTCGCGACGTCCTCCACGATACAGACGCTGCTCAACAGTAACGTGAACAATCCGGCGGCTTTGATCAACCCTATCTTTCACAATCACGGGATCGCGAGCACTACTGAACACTTCTCCATCCATAGCAACAATCCACGCGAGACTATTGACTATCGTGACGATGATCAGGAACAAGATATAAGAGCATTGGAAGCGATACAATCGGTGAACAAGGGCAAGGTATGCAACTTGAATTTTATGTTTAAGTGCGTAAAATTGTATAATAATACTCTTTACATCGAATAAAGTAGTATAGCGAAAAATACGTAATTATTGGAAGAACTTTGTTAAAAATGTTGAAATATAATATACATTACAATCTCTTAATATTTTAAAATCCTTTTGGTTCGTTATATTATTGAAAATCTTATTGACATTTTATGGTCAATTAATTTTGCCTCGATAAAATTAAGATATCCTTTGATATTTATTATCAAAAATAAAATTTGAAAAAGTTAAGTTGTTTTTGAGAAATTTTGCAGACAGACAATTGGACGAACGGACTCAATGGACATGGAGAGACAAATAAACCAACACGAAATATTTGCAACTCTGTACTATTTAATAAAAACAATTCGCGCGCTAAAATTATTTCCAGTTTTTAGCGGAGCTGACTTGATGAAAAATGTTATTCAAACCTCACTTACGTTTCTTTATTTCTAATATTAGATTTCTAAGCTGACAATATCTCCAGTGCCAAACCAGCAAGAATCGTCCCGAATAGTACAGACGAAAACAAGTCAATCATCGCAGCAAAGGATATCCGGCAACTTTTTGCCGACTCCAGCCATCGAAACAACTATGAGATCATTCTACCCGACACCGAGACCTTCTCCGAAATCTCCGCAGTCGTTACAATCAGTCACTCACCAAGTTACCCAACATATTCACGTGCCGCAGCTCAAACCTCATCAGATCACCATAAATCTGCCGCCACCAGATATCCAGAGAATCGTGCAGAACCCGTCGCCTCTGCTGCCTTCGCAATCCCGGGTGATTGTCACGGCGAAGGCAAGCGTGAGCGATGAATCTGGTAGACCTTTGAACACTACGCAATTAGTGACGTTGCCGTTGCCAACTATACCGGCCAGCTATGATGATTACAAGGAGGGTGATGAGTCCTTTGATCCCTTTTATCGCGACGTTCCGAAAATTCGCAAAAATCGCCAGAACGCGATGGAGAACATAAGATTCTCGCGCGCGAAACGATCGCTTGAGCAATCCTATCACTTTGTTTACGGAGTGGACAGTCGTCAGAATTTCAAGGTGATAGGAAAAAGTGAACCGCGTAAGAATGAAGATAATGTGATAAATAAAGAAAGTACGCGTGTCCAAGTCAATCTCGAAGATTTTCGGGCTCTTAAAGGAAGTCTGATAAAATTTAGGGACATCTTATTTAGCGACAATGTGAACAAAGATTCCTCTCACAATGATGCTGAAGAAAATAAAAATAATACCGAAAGTGTTGGGATAAACAGCAAGACTTTTGATACAATATCTGTAAAGCAGGTGCAAGATAATGCAATAAAAAAAGTAGACTATCTGGAAGACTTGAAGACAGAAGCCTCTAAACACTTAAATTTAAATAAAAATACGGATAAGGAAGAAGAAGATGAGAAAACAAGTCATGAAGATTCGACTCCAAATGTTAAAGTTAAAACTGAAAAATCGCTTGATGAAAAGAAACACATTAAGAATACGTCGGAACTTGAAATTTACATTGAATCTACGACTGCTCATCCTCGAAAAAATGAATCTCAAGGAGACGTTATAGATTTAATAATACTTGATTCTAACAATAATTTTAAAGTGAAAGCCACGTCCGCCAAGACTGACGCACCTATCGAGATTATCATCAAGGAAACAAAATCTGACACGCATGACACATCGAAGATTGACGAGAAAGTTGCACACGAAGGACAAATCGCAGGATCCTTGGTAAAAGATGACCCGGGAAAGCAATCCGGGAACTCTGTCCGCGCCGGTGAGAGAAGACAACTAACAGTTCCGCATGAAACAATCAAACGAAATGGTGCCAAAGATGAAGAACGAAAGTCTGGTTTGAGAAGGAAAAGTTCTCGACCGAGATCGTCGAAAAGACGTATATCTTCGAGAATAAGGCAGCAAAGAATGGAAAACATTGAACCGACAGAGATAATCCAGCAAAAGGAAAGAACGACTACTGCCACTGCTGTTATTGATACTACTACTGTTACTTCTACTTCTACTACTTCTGCTTCTACTACTGTGACCCCATCCATTACAGCTTTTGAGAAGAAAGTTACGGAGCAAATTGATAGTAACATTTTCGGGGACTCAGAATCACAAACTTTTAAAGAGCTTGATACGAGGGCGATCGGTCATCGAGACGCGATATACTCGAAGAGCTTAGACGATAAAAGTTACGATTCAAGTAGGAGTAAGGACATAGAGCGATCGTTTGATCGGCAGATTATGGAAGAGCATACGAGGAGCTCGGAACTACGTGCTGATCAAATAGAGGAGGAAAAATGGGAAACAGAATTGCCGGATTATACGCAGACTACTGAAGGAAAAGATACGACCGAAAATCCAAATAATGCAAACGAAGCGAAATCGACAGAAGTTGCACACGTCTCTGAAGAGAAGTCTTCCACCGAAGAGGAAGATCCTTACAAGGAGTACGAATTTCCGGATGATGATGAAGCTGATAGGAACGAAGAAAAACTCGAAGAGAACTCGCAGGATCGATCTAGCAAGATTTCTTCCGACGAAGTCGTGACTTCTCGTGAAGGTAACTTGGAAGAAGAATCAGCTTACGACGAAGATATAAGCGAGAAATCGAGCACTGATATTTCGGACGAAGAGCAGAGTTCAACTGCGAATTACAATGAGGAGGTAAATTCAGAAGAATTGAACGAGTATCAAGATATAACAGAATCGTCTGCGGAGAGTACGCGCAGCATTCAAGAAGATTACAGGGAGTATCCGGAAAGTACCGAGGGTTCCACGATGGATTATACAAACCCCGAGGAGTACACCGATTCTCAGGAGGACATCGCAGCTCCGACCGAAGATGGCGAGGGCAGTACTGAGGGTGTCCTAAAATTCACAGACGAATTACCATTATCAGACGATAACGAGGACGAGGAAACAACAGAAGAATCGTTGACATCTAACGAAAATGATGCGCATGATTACGTCGATGACAATTACGAGCCGGAAAATTACAAGACAGAAATTGCGATGAAATTGGACGAATTTGAAGAGGATAAGAGTGAGGAAAAGAACGATGAAGAAAAGAAAGATACGTCAGCGAAAGAGAAAGATTCCGATCGTACAGAGAATATAGAGAATATAGAGAATAGTGATAGCGTCGAAGAAACGCAGACGGATCAGGCCGGCGTCACGGAGATCAAGGATCTCGAAGAAATCGCAAGTTTAACCACAACTTCATCGACCACAACACCGGCATTAACTACGACGACATCGAGCACAACGGCATCAACTACGATGACATCGAGCACAACGGCGTCAACTATGACAACCTCAACCACAACAGATTCGACTATAACGGTATCAAGCTCGACTCCGATTACAACTACTGCTCGATCGACGACCATCACTCGTCGACCAAAAACTACTACCTCTCGTGCCACGCCACCGAAAATCTTTAAGCCTACTGGGAACAAAAGGATTTATGCTTACATTCCTCCTACGACGACTCCGAATCCGGTCGTGATCAAACCGAGATTAGGCCTATTTAATCCGAAGCCTGCGAAACCGATTAAATCTTATAACGAATTGGCACCGAAACCAACGATCAGGAAGCTCATTTTACCTACACGAAAATCTACTACCACTACCACTGAAGCTATTACTATTATTACTACAGAAATGTTGAATACTGAAAATTCAGAAATAACGACGGAGCCTGTAACGACGGTAGCATCGACGACGGCAGCATCGACGACGACAGCAACGATAGCAACAGCGATGACGGCAGCAGCAACGACGACGGCAGCAACGACAACGATGGCAACAGCGGCAACGATGGCAGCGACGACGACGACGACGGAATCTAACAGAAGCGAGGAGAACGGTCTCGAGAGCAAACTGGAAACAAACGAACATATATCCCTCGATTCTCTCGCAAAGAATAATCAAACGAACAAGGACAATCAACTTCCGAACTCGTCCGAGCAAAATACTTCGATCAACTCTTCGGAAAACACTGATCCGGGAATGACAACCACGACAATTGAAACTTTTACTCCTTATCCTCTACTTAAACTATCCACTCTCGCGCCTTCCATCGAGCGGACAATGAAGGACATAGAAATTAAACCACAGGAAACGACAGAGGACATTGATACTCTCGTTCCAACGACTATTCCACCGACAACGTTACTGTCCGAAAAGTCCGAGTATGTTGAGATCGCGCCGAGTACTGAGAAATACCTTGAAGTAACGGAGACCACTATATCTTCCACTTCCAAAGTCTATCAGCAGGGAAACGTCTTCGGTTTCTTCGGTTCTTCCGGTTCCTGAACGTGCCACGTCGGTTTCAGTTTTGACGACTGTATTGCCTAAGGCAGAGGATTCCGATCCTGGTGCATCGATGGAAGCTGCGATCCTCAAATCGAGCAGCCGGAAACTCGTGAAACCGCGAAAGCACGCGAGCTTTAATTGTCTGGAGAAAGAAATGTATCGCTTCTACGGCGACTTCAGGGACTGTCGATTGTTCCACTATTGCTCGCCTGGTTTCACATCGCGACAGGTGCTGGACTTCCGATTTGTGTGCGAAGAGGGCACGGCGTTTGACGAAGTAACGCAGAGTTGCCGTCACGAAGTGCATAACCGGAAGTGCCGAAATCGCTCCTGGTGAGAGCTTTCACAAGAAGAAATAAGGGTTGCTCCACCCTTTCATTTTCTTCGAATCTCGTGTTTCCTCGATTCCGTTGATTTTGGTAATTCGTGAATCCTTTAGAACTCTTTAGTGTATTTATATTTTCTTTCTTTCTTTTTTTTTAACACGCAACATGTAAGAATTCTGCTAAGTCCATTGCCATAGCGCTTCGCGCTGGATTCACACTTATTAAAGTTAATGCGTTCCGATCGACTCGCAATCATCGATTGGATCAGTGAGGGAAGCGAGGAAACATCGTTGGCGTGATTTCGTATGAAAAAAGAAATCGCACTTATCGTTAGCGTTAAGTAAGAAAGCGAAGAAGTCGGTTCCTACGTTGTGTCCTCGAGACGTGTTAGGAGACGCGCGAGAGACATTAAGCGAGAAGATTATCGCGCGATTGTAAAGCGATTCATATCGCAATCACTTGTCGAGCGAATGATTTAGATGCGCGAAACGCGAATTTCTGAACGTTGCCGAATATTGCCGAAGAAACTATGCCCTACGGTTTATCCGTACTCTTGGCATCTTGCTCGTACACAGCGCGATAACGAATTAGCAGCCGTCTTTTTGGCCGTATAAATAATTTTATCGAGATAAAGTCGAATATATTTTTGATAAAATATTTGCGACCCTGCACTGTATTCACAATGCAGTATATCTAAAAATATTAGGAGAATCTTCGCAGAATTTCGTATAAAATATTTGTGATAAAGCACACATTTTTCGGAACTATACAATATTTTTATACAAATTTAAATAATTTTAATTGTCATGTATATATTGGAATATCTCGAACTAATTTTATTAAGATGAAGACGAATTTATCTTAATAAAATACTTGCGACTATGCTTGCACTTACGTCAGTGTAGTACATCTAAAAATATTTTCAATAAAAAAATCTTCTCAGAATTTCGTATAAAATGTTTTTGATAAAGTATTTAAGTAAGTTTTTCGAAATTATTGTTTACAGATTTAAATAATTTTAATTATCATGTATATATTGGAGTATATCGAACTAACTATCGTATGCATAGATGATCGAATTGTTTAATTAATTCGTCGAATTAATTCCTTATGATATCAAAAAGTGCAATTAGATGAAACGTCATTGCTCAAATATCTAGGTACGAAGATAGCTCGATAAAATGTAGATATCTCGAAGTAATGTGCAAATCATATAGTCGATTTAATGGATGCGTTACAACGACATGTGAGAAAGCCGAGGGAAGAGAGATCGCGGCTTACAGTTTGCATAATAATTCGTTTCGTATATTCAATTATACGCATTCTGCTATCGGCACGACAGCGGCACACCCGTAACGTAATGCCGGTTGTATGATTCGCGTTACCTCTCGTAAATGCTCTTAATTTCCTACTACTAATTAGCGCGCTTTAATTACGAGCGGAAACGAGTGCGCCTTTGAGTCAGCCGTAGATAGGGTGTAGATATACATTTTTGCGAACTTACTCCGAAACATCTTTCTAGCGATTTAGTTTAGATAGAATCTAGAAAATTCGTACGTGCTGCCAGATGTGCGTGTAACTCGTTAATAATTACCGCGTGTGTATTTACGTTGCACCTATACGTTTCAAACGTACACACACACGCACGTCAAATTTGTATCTATTATATATTTTTTAAGTAACTGTACCATGTCAATAATAATTGTATATTCTATATGCACACGTGAATTTATTCTGTGTCTTTTAAAAATTCCTTGCGCTTATCCTTATCTTTATGTGTACATTTAAAACTAACGTAAATTATATGCTTTTTTTGTAATTTGTGTTTTTATCGAGTATTTTATTAAAAACACAATTTTATTTAATTAACTGAAATTAATTTTCCAGGTAATTTTTTTTCTAATATTACTTTTCTTTCTTAAGAGGAGAAATCAAGGTGTACGTTTACGCATAAAATATAATAATCTATATGTATACACAACGTAAACTATGTAAATTATGCTTTACGTGTCATGTATGTAAATAATCTTTAGATCATCGAAGCTTATGTTCTTTGTTATTGCATTAAACTGTACTAAAGCTTTTATCTTGCTTACATCAATATTAAAGTCTATTTTGCTTTATCAATATTAAGGTCAGATATATTAACAATCATGAAACTTAATTACTTTTGTTTGTATTGTGTTGTTTAATTAATAATAATTTACATATTTTACAATTGTTTGTATTATTTATATAAAAAAAATTCGTGTAAACTTAACGTAAATAATACGTAAAAATTATATAATCTTGAAATATATAGCACAATCCTGAGAGAAACATACTAACCTGATAATACTACTTTCAGTTATTAACATGTCTTGAAACGTTTACCATTTGATGCAATTAAGCAGTAATATTGGAGCGTAATTTACCTGCAGTCATTAAATGTTTTGTGCTATATGTAGCAAATAAATTTCAAAACAGAAATTCACTATTAAGAAAACCTTTAATAAAATCATATTATTGGATAAAGTTTACTAGAGTAAATTATCCATTGCAGAATTCACAATGCCTAATTCATAAAACTATGCCAGTTTGTAATCTTGAACTTTAATTGTAAAAAACAACTGCTAGCGTATTCACTAGGAAATGAGTATTTATTTTACATTTTTATTTATTAAAAGTTTTCTACACAATTTTATATTAAATACATATTCTTAAGGCAACTTAAGCGATAGTATATACATTATTTATGGCATCAGCGCACGGCATGGCAATTGGATTTTTATTTTATTCTTATTAATCAACATAACAGTTTTAAATCATTATACGGATTATTATTTGCGTGATATTTTATCATGTTGAAAATAAATCATACTACATATCTCGAAATATTTGAAATTCTTGATCTCTGTTCTTTAGCAATTACTGTGCCGTCAATTTTTATTTCCATTTTTCAATTCTATCAGAATTTAAAACAGCCTAGCCTGTTGATAAGATGGAGTGGTGGTTCTCGCTATTGATTCGTGTTCGCTGTGAAAAAAATACATAAAATTAAATAATTCTCTATTTAATAGAAGCGATGACATCAAGAAAAGGATAAGAATTTTAGAGTGCACGTGACAATAAATTGACTCATTAATTAAAAAGATTAGATTATACTTTACATTTTTCATAGTTTTTATTTTAATATTTTTTAAATACTTATTAAAGCATATAAGTAAATAAATTTCTAAATATCTATTATTTATATAATAAATCTGAGTAAAGATAAAATGCATCTTATAGTAAAAACGTTTTTAAATATTACTTACCAGCCAGTGACATTTTCCGCAGCATCGCAAGTGTCGATGAGCTCGTTGAAAGCATTTCCAATGCCGCAATTTTGCAGTCTTGGACGGCCGTTTACGCAAATATAATAATGATGGCAATCAGCAGGGCTACGATAAAATTTAATCTCGGCGTCCAAGAAGAAATCGTTCTTCACCTCCGGACAACGGAAGCCAAGGAAAGTCTCGGCATCGCAATCCGGCACTTGATCCGGCCAATCGCATCGATAGGTCTGCGGATTGAAGGCCAGACCCTCCGGACAGTCAAACACGTAACCTCTGCCATCCACGCAGTTCATAAATTGCCCGCAGTGCTGATGATCGCCGATCTTGAAGTAGCCATATTGATGAGGACAGTCGTTGGACGGGTTTGCCGGCTCTGAAGAAAATTTCATGAATTATTTCATCACTCAATCGCGTCTTGTTGCACGGAAAAAATAGCTTAGATAATTCAAAGCTATAAGCTGAAACTTGCTGCACGAATTCAATTATATTTATAACTAAGTAAATTTGATGGTTCAATGAAGAAATCAAATCTGTAAGCAATTATCAGTATGTCAATTCAACTAATTCTTTGCTACAATAAAAATGTAACAATTATTTTCTTCATTACAGCAGCAAAAGTACGCGTGATCTCAGCTAGTATGTTTAGTTAAATATTTTGACCTTATATTAGACTGTATATTGGTTTGATTTTCGTAAAAAGTTTTTTATATATACTATACTATTATAATAAATATATGCCTATAATCACTAATTTTATTCAGCTGTACAACTTTGTTACTTTTATCATAGAAAACTGGCTGTCCTATATTATGCTTATAGATTTGCTGAATGAATGAAGTTTTTTTTTAATTATTTTAACAAATCTTTTTCTTCCGTGTGCAATTAGCTCAATTTGCTAGAAATTTTCTTTGTTGGATCTTCAACGATTTTAGATAAACGTGAGATCTAATTATTTAAAGGCCTCTTTCGTTAAAATTTTATATGCTAGAATATTTTTTAAAAATTCGTAAGAACAAAGTATTGCGAGGAACTCACGCAAATTCGGCCTGCCTGTGCAGTCTATGTCGATCGGATATCCACAAGGATAATTGAAGCGAGCTTCAGGATTGAAGAATAAGCCTTCAGGACATAACTTTTCCTCAGCTACCCCATCGTTGCACTCGATGTAAGCGTCGCACTGATTCTGTACCGGAAAACGACCGTTCTTGTCCGGACATGTGGATTGGCCACGTTTCGGCGAAAATTGTTGCAGACCACGATTAAATTGATTGTCGAACAGCTGATTCGAGAATCTGCTGTTTTGATTGAGCGCTGAAATGGCAATAATCGTTTAAAAAAGTTTTCACTTCAAATACAGAATACATTTTTTATATCCCGTATATATTCTAATAACATAGATCTCCAAGGGACATTTAAAAAAATATTCAGAGGATATCCTTATGTCCTAAGAATGTTCGCCAGAGCCCTGTTCCTCGAATAAAGTGTGCTATTAGAGTATAGATATTCGCATCCATTAAATATTCACAGTCTCGTTCAAGCTTCAATTAAACTGTAATAAATATAAATTAAACTATAATTAAGTTTATTAAATATAAATTAAACTATAATAAATACAAATTAAATTGTAATTGAACTTATTAAATTAAACTGTAATGAGAATGAATTAAACTGTAATAAAATACTTTAATATAAAAATGTTATGCCACATTAGTTTTAACTTATATTCCAATTTAATTTATGATTTTATTTTGATGTTCCTATCCTTTTAAATTTTCATACTGAGAGAGACTTGGTATAGTTGAAACATTCGTATTATATTAATATATCATTATTAATATAATATAAACGTTTTATTAATATATAATCAATTATTATTATTTATTATTATTCATGACATGATAATAAATGTGTATTGTTTTAACTTCTTATCATTGTTAATTAATTTATTTTATTGATCATCATTTTCTTTAATTACGTTTGTATGTATCGAGCTTGATTAATGATTAGTTAGAAAAATTCTCTCTTTTATTAAATCTGGTTACCAAATTCGGGGAATAGACGATTCTGAAACACCGATTTAATTTAATTTTGCGTTATAAAACTCGTCAAACGAGTTCGCGTTCAGAGAGTATTAACAAGTAACGTTAATGCAGTGTATGTGATTATCCCGCGGCGAAAGTTCGACGATTGCCGATGTTCGACCTCTACGAAGATACTGCATATATTCATGTTACATGCGCATCACTTGCGCAACGCGTTTGTAACGCCATTTTCAGACAATATTGAATTGGACCCGACTGGTCCGAGGACGTTTTTCAATAGATGAAATAAAATCAACAAGGATTTCCAAAGAATAAATAATCGCGCTACAAACAAGACTAATGTCCATTTCTATGAATATACATTAACTTAATTTAATCTCGGTTTAACTTTGTATCTTTTTCTAGTTCTAAATCTCAGTTTCATAACTCACAGTTAATTCTTAACCAAAGTTCAATTATATCTCTTTAATTATTTCTCTTTAATTCTTGAATTGAAAAGATATAAGGAATAAATTAAATGTTAAGAGTTAGCCGTGAGTTGTAGAACTGAGCCATAGACATATAATCGTGCGAAGAGAATTTTTCTCGATGCTACTTTCTTTCTAAACATTCTTTCTAATGAAATAAAATATTTGGCTGAGGCTCAAAAAAGCCGATTCAATATTAATAATTAAAAGACGTTACGAAAAGTTGAGGAATGATACGGATAGAATGATTTTGCTGAAGTATTCGAAAATTTCGTTAGATAAAATGAAATAAATGTTGTGACTTACAAAACTTTTTTACTTCCTTTAATTTCAAAATTTTGTTGTTCTAGTCAAAATTTGATTCTAACCAAATTCAAAATTTTAAATCACGTACAAAACGTTTTTCTCAGAGTGTAAATTTAAAAATAATTTAATTGGACTATTAAAATAATCACATAGGACACTTTGGTTATTAGAATGTAAAAATTTTTACAAGATTTTATCAACTTACGATTTCTATGTAATTATTTTGATGGTCCAACAAAATTATTTTTAGATCTGTATCTAATTAAATTTTTAGATTCTTCAGCAAACTCGTTCCTTCTATATAACGATGCTTCTGCGCACGAAAACCGACGGTTTTCCCAGAGATGTTCCGAGACATTTCCGCAGGGCAGAAATTGCGCAAGGTAATGAGTGCAAACAACGAGAGAGAAAGTTTCGCTGATTACAAACTCAATTATCTGTCGTTAGGCCGACGAGGACGAGCGTTAATCCCACCTATCGAGTCCTTCTTGTCCGAAGGTCGAAAGAGTTTCTCCAGTTAAAAGGCACTGAAATACGCATTACATTAATCGAGCTATTCTCGTGATAAAAACGAAATATTCATTTTTTTTTTTTTACTTATAACATGATCGCATCAAGGATCTTATTAATATAATAGCCGTTATAAATCTAATGACACAGTGGAGAATTAATATTCATGCTATCTAAGTTTTAAGCTTAAAAATTTATTTCTCTGTCAGTGTATCAGCGCATCGCATACAAATTATCTATGCGCTCGTGACTGAGCATACGTATAGTAATATATGACAGTAAACTGCTATTCAGGCCGCGTTGCATTTATAAAATTGGATCTACACAAATTTCCTAAGCGCCTTGGAGTTTAGCCAATCTTATTAAGCTCTTTAAATTATGTATCGTATAATATATACGATAATAATTTTACTTGTGTAATATTACATGTTACATAACTTGGAAATGTACTATATATAATACTCATTTCGTACAGGCAATTTAATTTCTATTAAAGTACGAGAAATTTAATAAATATAACAATGAACCAATCATTAAAAGTTTGAATATTTAAATATTAGAAAGAATGCATATTAATTATAATTTAGTACTAATTATACAAAATTTAACATGTGCCTTTCAATTTTGTAATTATTTTTTCTTTCTTCTGCCATCATTTATCCAAATTGCTTAAATTACTTGAAATAATATCACAATCAAATATTTGTTAAATGAATGATCATCTGCCAACAACAAGAAGAAGGAAAGAATTAGTGATACTCGAAAATTCATGATGAATACAGAAGAATTACATCGAGAGAGGACTTTTTTTTATTTTACACACAGAAAATACATCTGAGAGAAACCGTCACACTTGTGCCGTCAGAAAAATCACATCACTGCGTTTCTAGAATCAAAGTGGCACGAATATAACAATAATTCTTGTCCGCTCTTTGCAATTGGCGAACAAACGACTATTTCACTTTCTCGAACATGCGAAAGAGCACCGCAGGGTAAACTCTTACTCACACATTGTCGCAGTGAGAATTCCGCAGGCGATTAGCAGATGGACGATTGGTCTCGAGGCCATCGTCGTCGTTGAAATTCACGTTCCTTCTGTCCCAATCCCGAAAGGAAGACTACGACGCACTGCCGCCGCCCGGCGTGCTTTTATCATCTTCACGCGAGGATGAGAGCGGGAGAAGAGAGAACTGCGTCTTCATTCGCCGATGGAAATCATCCCGTCGCGTCTTCTCCTCAAAGTAAAAGGATCGTTGTAGCCGAAAAGCCAACACATCGCTTCGTTTCGAGCGATTCATTCATCCTACGTTGTAACTCTGTTTCTTCTGACATATAACATCGAATTAAAAAATCGATCGCGATGCAACTCGTCATCATGTGATCCGTCGTTTAAAATTAATCGCGCCGTACCTGTGACTTGAATCAAAATTAAATTCTGATATATAAATTAATATTTGAATTTAAATATATGTAAATTATAATTTATTTTTTGGGAAAGAATTGACGTAGACATACCTACAAAAATTGTTTTCTAAATACTGTCAGCTTTCTGTTTAGAATTTTTGCTTTAATAATCGATACTGTATTCTTTAACAATATCTTAGAATTAGAGATGCGCCAGCTTGAATTTGAATGTCAGAATAACGAGACATAAATGTCATCTACAACCAGTCCGTCTCTTCGAAACGAGAATGTTGAGTCGAGAGAAGTTGAGTCTCTTATATCCAATAAAGAGCAACGCGCGTCGCATTTAGACGCTCATTCATGCGCATATTGCGCTTTTTTGCATAATTCATAAGTAATAATTTCATACAGCAATAATTGCACAGATTGGTGCAATTTACATAAAGAATTATTGTGAGTGTGTTATATTATATCTCAATAAGATCACAATAATAATTCATAATATGACACTTTTTGTTGTGATACAAATTATAGTTTTACGCAAAAAGTTTGCAAAATCGAATTCTAATCTTCATAAAGGATTGGTTTATTGTTATTATTAATTATAATTATCAAAAATATATTTTTGGTATACGTCTTATTTTTCTTTGTGTACATTTTTATTTTTTAAAAATCAAATGAAATTATATTTTTTTTCCTCTGTGAAAGAACATAATAAAATTTTTAACGATTCTTAATTTCTCTTTTGTTTCCTGCTTGGAGCTATAAAAAGAGACAAAAAAATACGAATATTTGCGTACTTCAGAAGACGAGCATAATCTCGCTCCGAGAATGGAGCCTTGACATTTTCCTCGTACCGACGAGAACAAGTCACCTCAAATGTGGAAGGTAGACGGCTAGTGGTCTTTTACCTCATGTAACACGCGCGGCCAACGTCTGATTACATCACGTCAAAATACTGTTAGCAATTCCTCGAATACTTTGCGTGTCATTGTGCGATAATTCCGCATATTGCAATATGTGACATGTCTTAAATTTGATGAGTCAGGATCAAAAGATATGAATGATTTTTTAATAAAATTAATTAGTCAATAAAGAGTAAAGACTGATGTTCCATTGGATTTCGTTACGCTTATTTTGGACAGTTTATAATTATAATTTAAATATGACAATCATAATTTGCTCTAATTTTATTCTCCAATTAAAAAAAAAAACAAAATTATCAAAATACATGCGAATATAAAATATTAAAATATGCTATATAATTAAAATATACGATATAAAAGGTTATAAAAAAGTATAAAATAAAATAAAATACAAAAAGCTGTAAATAAATCGCGTCACATTTTAGAAAATAAAAATCTACAACTATATTAATTTAAATAATGTCTAAATTTTTTTAGAATAAAAATCTGACTCAAATAATAAATATGTAAATTCATTACATGATATATTAAAAAAATGAGCTTTAGAAATATCTGTCTGTCGAATAACAGTTGGTAACTACTGACTTGTCTGACAATGAGCAGACGTTACTACTTCGCTTCGTCTATATTATTTTTTTTTTTTACTTACGTTGATTTAATGGATTAAATCAGATATCGGAATAGTTAAACGTATTCAAAGTAAATTGTATTATACGAAATATAAACATAATCTCAGTTTATGTATTTTATATAGGTTATCAAGTATATATTAGATCGATCTTCTCCCACGATTCTTTCGAAACATTGTATAATAACTCTTTCACAATTTTCTACGCAAGTGCCACGAGATTAAAAATAGTTTGTTTTTTTTTTAATTTAATGTATCGTATATTGAGACTATATTTGTCTTCTGTGTTGTTGATCGAAGTATTTGTTTTTATCGTGCCTACATCTTGCGTTTATTCTACGTAACGTTTTATTTTCTTTTTATTTCTAATTTTATATTCATTAATACTGCAGTTAGATATTTACTATCACACACGCCGTATGTCATGCGGCAAAGGAAAATACATGGAAACATTTAAATAATATATTACGCGATAAAATTCATGAAAAAAACCTAAGGGAAGAAAATTATGCGAGTCTGCAGGTAGATAATAATTCATACTGATGACGACGAGGATCATCAAATTGTGGTATTTTATACACGATTTAGGAAATAATGAATGATATCGTATCCTACTGTTTTAGCTTTTGAATAATCACTTTTATTTTTGATCCTTATCAATATTAAACAACGTATATAGTTACGTAAGGGTATATATATTACATGGAAAATTCTGTCCTTCTCGTGCGCATATATCTTCCCGAGATACCTCGAGTGCCCACCACCCGACTGTCCCGAGAAAAAAAGTATATCATCACGCACATGACATTCACTCTCATTCTTTCTCTCCCTCTCTCTCTCTCTCTCTCTCTTTCTTTCTTTCTTTCTTTCTCACACTCGTCCTTTTATCTTCGTTCCTTCTCTCTCTCTCTCTCTCTCTCTCTCTCTCTCTCTCTCTCTCTCGCTTTCCTCTTTCTTTCAGCTTCTATTAAGAACAAGAAACATTCTTTTTTTACGTCTGGTTCTTTCCCGGCAAACGAGAAAAATGGCGTGAAATCTCGTGGAATTTCCGACGTTGAAGGACGCTTTTGCATTACCATTTTTGGACAACGCACCTTAATCGCCGGTGCGACATTCTTCTCCGGAGATAATCTCACATCTTCCCAAGTCATTTGCATGTCCTTCCACACGAGTGCGGATCAATCCGCCCGAAGTGACGCAGGAACGATGCGTTCTTGTAAATCCGATGTTGGGTCGCGATGATTAAAGGCGACGTTAAATTGTGCGAAGCGCGTGTGCGAACACGCCCTCTCGCGAAATTGCTTACGTAGGAGATTGAAACCACTACCAATTAATTTAATATTAATATCGCTCGCTTTTCGCAATGTTCGCTGTATATTCATGTCGAAGATATTAACAATGCGCAACGCGTCACGCAGATGCAGCCTCAAATTCCATCGACACACCATCACATATCGCTGCGCACGTACGAGATAATTGCATACTTTTAGAATGACGAGAACATGATACGCTCTTCTTGTATTTTCATCTGTTCGCAGAGAGGGGTTTTAGTGAAGAGAAAATAGAAAATAAATAACTTTTTTTCTGCATCAATTCACTCGTTGCAATGCCGTATGCTCGACACTCGTAGAATTGTAATATTCTATTGTATTCTATTAAATTAATTTTGTTATAAGATAAGACTCTTACATTCCTGTCATTCTTAATACTTCACTTTTATGGGAAAACGTACACCTTCGTTAGCCCTACATTCGTACATTTATACGAGTATGCGCTCGCAATTATGATCCAGAGACGAATTGCTCTTCAGCAATTGCTTATCCTATCGTTACATATATCGCACTTCCAATGGAAAAGAAGAAGAAAAATTATTGTGAGTATCACAAGTTGATTTTTTGCAAATCGTTGAAAAAGGGAAGGAAATAATTACCTTAAATTGTTTGTTATTGCCAAGTATATGCACAACGATAGTGCCACCGTTTACATTGTTTTCACATTTCGTACCACACATTGGTGCGTTGAGAATCCCACACGAGTGCTCCTCAGATATGTTATCCTTGTTTAACATTCGGTGAACAAGGATAAAATGACACCTGAGTGCCACTCAGGTGGAAATCTGAACACAATCCTGGAGATATTTGTCTCCTCTTAAAAAAATTTTTTTCCCCTTAAAAAAAAAAAAAAAAAAAAAAAAAAACACACAAATGGCGATTTCGCAGCGCTTTCGCAGTTGTCACTTTCCTCGACTGAAAGTGCGATATTTCTCCGTGTCGGTTCTCCTCGCGGGAGCTAATACTTTCAACTTACAGCCGTCGAAACTCTCAAGGTATTCGCAGCGAGTTTACTGCGACTTCAAGGTACACACGTGACATCTGCGCGGGATCCGCCGATCTCGATGCAAAACCTCGTCAAATTAAACGTCTTATAAAAAAACAATAAATATTTCTCGGACATCCTGTGAATGTCTTTGCAGATATTTCTCAGACTTGTTCAGGTTTGCTTCGACTTTTTCATCTTTAAGAGGCAGAAATTTTATTACTGAAGTCTCTCTGACTTAAATTGTATTTTGCGGTTTGTACCTCGACCGACGTCGTCCCGTCACATTGTGCAATAGGCCATTTCCTCTTATCTAAGAATACGAAAGACTAACTAAAAGGGCAAAGAGTAAAACGCCGCGTCCTCCTTGTCGTTCTGCTAGTTGTCTCACATGTAGTCCTACTCTTCTGAAATACATCGAGACGTAATCTCAATGGATCTGCTTGCTAACAATATTATTCGTATAAGTAGCATACTTGATTTGACAGGCTAAAGAATACGAGGAAGCTATGTCGGAAAATTTTAACGTTACCGACTTTAAAGTTCGATCGAAGAGATTTGCGAAGAGATAGTTACTTTATAATGTAGTTACTTCCCAATTTATTCATTGCAATAAAAACAAATATATTTTTTATTTATAGTTTTCGGAATGTAATTATTGCAAATCGTGAAATATAAACTTTTAATAAGAGTTTCAGTGTTAAATTAATTAATAAATTAAATAAGAATTAAAGAAATTAAATCAAAGAATAAATTGGAAAATTCGACATAACTCCTTCGTTAACTTCGCTCTTTCAATCGCCATGTATTTTTGTCCGTTTTAAGGAAGGGATCTCTAACGTCTCGTCTAACGTCTGGAGAGATGTATACAGGCACTGTTCTTTCACAGAGTAAACTCCTATCCGTCGAGAATCGCAATAACACGATACTACGATTGACAGAACGGATATCCAGAGTACCATAATTTTGCTCGCAGATCGCAATACGAGTCACGTCACCGAGAGAAGGCGTGCGATTTTGCCTCTTAATCACTCATTTTATTTTAGGAACACGTCTCTTTCGACACTGGATAAATGTTTTCGAAGTTGCTCAGCAATATTTTTCAATCCATTATACGTATACAAAGTGTATACATAACGGCCAAAGTTTGTGCTTCGTTTCAGGAAAGTGTCATGTAAATATATTGAATGAATTATAAATCATATAAGATTTATGATCCAAGTTTTCGCAGGACATTTCACGGTGACGTAAGCTCAGTGCAATTAAGCAATTCCCTAAGATATCCGCGACATTATTACAGGGGTAGAGGATCAAGATGAAAAGAAAAGGAACGGATACGTTGCAAAATTGCGAAATTTGCGCTCCGTTTAGTAAACTCGAGCCAATATATTTGGCCATTCAGTTTTCTCTTAATGCAACTGTAATTTTAATTTCAGACGCAACTTTTGCGCAAAATTCTTAAGTATTACATATTTTAATATTTAACTTACGCGCGTCAAAATTCCATTTATAATTAGGTCAAAATTTCACTAAAGAGTTTAATTTGAGTTCAGAATTTAGATGAAGTCGAATTCAGATGAAAAGCTAAAGTACGATTTTTTTTTTTTTTTTCATTTCAGACAATGAACTGCAAACTAATATTAATTATCGTGATCGCGTAGCGAATTTATGACCACCCTGATATGTATCACCTAAAAAATCGAACAGTTTCGTGTATAAATGTATTCTATGTATAACAAAGTGCTACACGTATTCTGCGAAACGTACGCGACGGCGTAGGCTAACTTCGCGATCACGCGACGATTTCGCGAATGTGTGCAGGACTGATATGTGTGAAAGGATCACTCCAATCGATATGTAGAGAATAAAAAGCGAGAACTAAGCTCTCGACCTGCCCCTGTAGCGTGTCGAGTATCTCCCCTTTCGATCCTCGAATCAATTTTACGTTTGGAACGCGAAACGATCGACGTTTATCGTCGTCGTTAGAGATGTACAGTGTTTCGATCACAGAGAATATACGTGTATATATATATATATATATTTTTTTTTTATATATAGATATATGTGTGTATATATATATTTTTTTTTCCTCTTTCCTCACGAGATTAATCAGGATTTCATCAGTTCCGCTGAAAGACCTGTGCGTGATGAACTAAAGAAGAATCAGAGTAAACGATCGGTTTTGGAGCTCGCCCTTTGCAATAAATGAGACATATTGTATAAATTACAAGAATTTATGTAACAAAAATCAGACAAATTTATGTAATAAAGATATCATTTGCATTCATGTGATAAAAATTTTTTTTATTTCTCCTGTTTGCTTTCTTCTTCTCAGGATAGTCACAAATTTTTCATCGCATAACAATAAAATTTCGTAACTTTTTCCTAATTTCTAAACAAAATTTCATAATTTTCCCTGACTTAAGTAATATTTTTAAATTTTTTGTATCTTCGTTTTGATTTGGAAACCATTAAATATTTTGTTAAAAGATGAATTTTTTACCATAGTAATGTACATTATCATTAACGTTGCTGACTGCTTGTATTTTTTATTGTTAAGTTGATAGTATTCCAAAAGTGCGTAAATAAGATGTACCCATATTAAACTTCGTTAAAGCATTTTTCCAGAAAATTTTGCAAAATTCCTCGATTTTTCCTTGATTTCTTCAACTTTTTTTCAATTTCTCTGACAATTTCCAATTTTGTGGCACTGCTTCTCTCTCTGAACAAAAATTTTGCTGCTCGATGATCGTAGTCTAATTATCAATATAATCTAATTCGTAATCTAATTATAATGTTGTGAAATAATTTTGTTAAAAATTTGTTTGTAATTTATCGATCGTTAACACCCTGAATCCTCCCTGTCGTCGCTTCGTTATCGAATTCGTCGTTCACGTGGGAAAGGGACGCAGAATGTTGAGCGACTCGAGAGCCGCGGGACGATTTCCGCACATGGAAATGCGGACGATGCGTCCTATAACGAAGTAGTAAAAGTGGCGGAGCAGCTGGACGAAAGTAAGTATAGACACGAGAAGAAATATTTCGCGAAAGCGATCGCGGGGGGGCGGTCGTCGTACCTGCCAACGACTTTGCCCAACGTTCGAGCGACGATGCGTCGCGACGCATCGACGCCCGCCTGGAAGATGCACGATCGAATGTCGAATAGTATGCACGACGCATGTCTCCATTATAAGCGAAACAATAGCATGGCGATCAACAATGCAAGGATACTCCTGCTTCAGACACATACTCGCAAAGAAGCAAACGGTCATGAAGTAATAAAAGTTATTTGTGTAATAAAAGCGTCTGCTGCGTGACTTAAATCGCGCATCTCGCAATAAACCGGCGACTCTTATACTTGATTGTTCCGCAATGTACAATCGATAAGCAGTCGCGTGTCGCGTCTCCTTGGTACTTCGGAATATTTCGCGGATTACTTTGCGACGATCGATCTTTCGGAATTAATAACGCGGATGAGATGTAGGCGGATGGGTATTAAAAAGAAAAAATAGTTCAGAGAGATTTTAAAATAACGATTGTTACGGGCAAATTGGAGCTCCACTCGTGGTGTGAATACATAATCACGCATGCATTCGCTCGTATCGGAGACACGTGGTCGCGCATCCTCCCGACCGTAATTACTCGGGAGTATCGAAGGCTATCCTCGATTCATCGCGCGGAACACACTAGCGGACAGAGAAGCACAACGGACTTGTGCACGTACGTACGGAGAAACGGTTTGTCTCGAAACACCGAAGATATGTACACGAAAACGAAATCTTACCTCGCGCGTCGTCTCCCGTCTACCTTCGAAGTCCCGCAAGAAATTGGACGAATTGTA